GTAAAGCAAGCATTGTTTATCCGCGTCTGTTGGATAAAAAACGATTGTCAATTCGATACAATAAAATGTATCACCAATAATTCAAAACCAGACCAAATTTTAACATACCCAGATTTTGAAACACATGGTGTAAGTGTTGCTTCATTTAAATCTCTTAAAAAATTATACCAAATGGAAAGTTATAAAATACTGCAACATGTTTATTGTTTGACCATAAAAGCTTTATATCCTACCAACCTTGAAAGACAAAATGTTTATTTAGCTCTCAACATATTCAATCCATTTGTAATAGATGCAGTATCATGGTTTGGTAAAAACATACAGCAGAAGAAGAGACAACAAAATTCAAAAAGATATTATATTGAAGTGGTGGCGAATTGTCAATATAAAAACTCCATTGAAAGGTAAGCGGTTAAATGACCTTTATGCAGACCCTATTGTTTCCTCCAACAGTGTTGGACAATGTGATGACAGTAAGCTGATTTTATTGCAAAAAATGTTGGATTGGCTAGAAGGGTGATGATGATTCAGTAAAATTTTCAAAAAGACTAGTCAGACTTACACTGCACTACATCATATTGTTGGAATTAGTAAGGTACTGGAAATCTGAACTGCACAGTAATTATATATTGTTAGGTAAATTCCAAACTGACTCATTGGAAAATATACTGAGAGACAGAAAAAGGTAAACACCTACGTATGTTTATTAGAATTCAAGAAATCCTGCCATGAACAAGTGATAAAAATGTCAGGTGTTTCTGTTAAGTTTTTGTGGTGGCTGCGTGTATTGTTTGGTGATAAAGAAGCACTCAGTTTTCATACATTTACGGTGTCAGTTAAATGTTAAATTCCGTCTAGCTCTTTGAGAAACCTTTTTGTGATTGCTCACAATGCCTAGAGTGCGTAGAATTCGCCGAGTGTCCCATTTAAGTGACTTTGAGAGGCGTCGAATTGTCGGGTTGCGAGAATCCGGTCTATCGATAAGAGAAGTTTCTAGGAGAACCAACAGATCCTTACGCAGTATACCGCAGTGTGAACGAGCATGGACTCAGGAAGGACGAGGACAGTGAGCGAGGGGTTCTGGACGTTCCAGAGGGATCACGGAGCGACAAGGACAAGACCGCCGGTTAAGACTTCTGGCTCTGATAGACAGATTCAGTAGTGCTCGAGCCATCGCTAATCAGTGGTTTGAAGGGCATTGAAGGATGGTTGGTATGCGTACGGTATATCGCCGAATACGACAGGTTGACCTTTTTTCTTATCGCCCACATTGGGTGCTACCTCTCACAGCTGAACATCGGCGTAACCGTTTGCTCTGGTGTAGAGAAAGGATTCTATGGGACCGGAAATGAAATCAGGTGAAATTTAGTGACGAATCCCGGTTCTGTCTGGGGATGCTCGATGGTCGGGCAAGAGTGAGAAGGCGACGTGGTGAAACACGTGACCCACAATTTGACAGATAGAGGCACGTTCACCACACCGTGGGAGTTATGGTATGGGGTGCTATAGCTTATGGTAGAAGATCACCACTAATTTTCATCAGAGGCAATATGACAGCCTGTCGCTATATTCAGGAAGTAGTGGAGCCTCATCTTATTCCATACCTAAACACTATCCAAAACCAGATTTTTCAGCAAGACAATGCCAGACCGCATGTTGACAGAGCATCCTTAGTCTTCATGGATCAACATCTCATCAACCGCTTACCTTGGCCACCACGATCGCCTGACCTATCTCCAATTGAACATGTCTGGGACATGATAGGGCACAGGCTCTTGAATTTGCAACAACATCCAAAGACTTCAGCAGCTGTTACTCATAAAGTTGCAGTAGCCTGGAATGAGATACCTCAACAGGATATCGCCCACCTTATCAGCAAGATGCCCAGGCGCGTCAATGAGTGTATAAGAAATCGTGATTCCTAAACATATTATTGAACCAGCTTCTGCAGTGAGTTGACGAATCAAGCTGAAAATTTAATCATTTTACTAGTAAGGGACACTGAACTATGCCAAAAATTATTAAATTCGGATAAACATAGGTAGGTGTTTACCTTATTTTGTCACTCAGTATAGATTTGGTAAGTACCGTCCACTGGCACGTCAAATATTATATATCAATTCGTCAGTTATATTAATCTGAGAAAAATTCACGAACTCAAAGCCTGATGTCATTGAAGTCTCGTTATGGTAATATACAAATAAGTAAATTCGGTGAAAATGATGATGTAGAAATAGATGAAATTCCAGACAATTTTAATGATTACCAAATTATCCGGGAAATTGAAATTTTACAGTCTGATATTGATAGTATAAAGGATGAAATCCCTGTCATCACCTACTTAGGTGGTTACTGTTATTATGCGTTATTAAAGAAAAATCACTGCGATCATTGTAAGGAAAATTTGGCACACACGGATGATATTGACATAGAAGACAAGCACAAAATTATAAAGAGGTGGCTTAAAATTACCAAAGATTCAGTGATTAATATTGTCATGCTAAGTTATATAATTTTCAATAAAGTTTTGGAAAGTTACGAGAAATCATTTTTAGAAATCACTGATAAGAGACGCGCTCAATTGATAGTTAACAATCTGAGTGATAATAATCACGACACTTCATTTTCGCGTTGCACAGTCCATTCACCAGAATATGTTAGTAATTGTTATTTGCATAGTCAATACATTTTTGGGAAAAATTATTGTGCAAAAAGGAACCACAGCTTTGCAGGCGCGAATAAAGCAAAGAAACGTAAATTGACTCAATTCACATGAGGCAGCAACTTTTACATAACTGGACATAAATAAATATTCATTTGTATATATTCAGAATTTAGTACTTTAATTTTCGTTATTCCAATTTTTGTTATTTTTGGTATTCGTTTTCTGTTTTCTAATTTCTATTACTATTGTGTGCTGGTATTTCTTTGTTCTAAGGGTTTTTTATTAAGTTTTTGTTAATCTTTATGTTTTTTCTGATGTATGTTTTATTTTGATTTTATCTGTTTTTCTTATCATTTATTCTACACTTTTTCCTTCTCACCGTCCTTATTCCTTTTCTGGCAAGAGCTTACCTCAGACCTCCTCGTTGGTTCTCGCTGGACACAACTGTTCAACATTTTTGAATATGTTGATGATATGTAATTTTCAAGTACCAGTATATTATGCCTATAATACTAGTAAATTATCCACATAATCCTGTGAAATTTTGTTGATCGGTTGTGACTAACATGGGGTGTCATTGGAGAATTTATCATTTTTAGCAAAATATTGTAAGCTTTTATAACATCAACTTATTACTCAAATGTGCACGTTACGTTGGATGAAATATCAGTGAATATCAGGGTGAAACAGTTAATAACTACTTTAATATTTATTCATATTAATAATGAATTAATATGTTGCCTTCATATACCAAAAACACTTTTCTGAATTATCCGTCATTTATATCAGGTAGAGTATGTTAAATATGCTGCAATAATAATATATAATTCACTAGCGCTGATGTACGGCACGCCGTGCTGTCGGCCGGCCGGCCTACTCGTGGTGACGTCACACGTCTGTTCTCTCGGTGGTAACGGTATAACCCGAGGAATGGCCGGAAGAGCTCCAGTTTTCAAGGCGACATCTATCCACATGTGCCTGATAAAGTCAACAAGCAGAAATACGTATTGTTCTGGTTACCTATCCTATTTTCTGCTCGAATCCCTTCTTTTTGGGGATTTTGCCCATTCATTTCTCTATTTGTTATACACATATACCTTTCTCCGCACGATAATTTCCTTTTGTAGATCCTTTGGGCTTGAAGTAACTTATTTTTTGCTCGAATCCACTTTCCCTTTTTGCG